CCTGGAGCTCACTTGGTAGCCCAGGCTGGCCTCGAACTCACAGAGATCCGCCTGGCTCTGCCTCCCGAGTGCTGGGATTAAAGGCGTGCGCCACCACGCCCGGCTCTTTGATCATTTTTTAAGAAAATGCCTTACAGCTGGATCTTATGGATGCATTTTCTCAATTGAGGCTCCTTCCTCTGATGACTCTAGCATGTGTGAAGTTAACATAAAACTAGCTAGGACACATGTACAACGTGCCTCAGATTGAGATTCCTCTAGTCTCCATGCCCCAAAGAGCACTCTTACCTTTTTTCCGCTTGTCTGACTTATATTCAGCTCCTCCAGTGTTGGAAGTTGGCACACTTCAAGAGGGAAATGTATGAACTGATTGCTTGATAAGTTTAATTTCTGGATCCCTTTTAGCTTAGATATTTCTGAAGTTATTTTCTGTAACTGATTTTCTGAAATATCAAGTATTTGCAAGTTTTTTAAAGCACACAGTTCCTTTGGGAAAATTGCAAACTTATTACCAGCCAGAATGAGCACATGGAGTGATACCATAGCAGAGATACAGGGAGGAATTGTCTTTATTTGGTTTCTACCAAGATCCAGGTATTCAAGATTTGTGAGGGAACATAAGTATTCTGAAAATATGGGGAGTTTGTTTCTATTCAACTCTAAATGAAGCAGCTGCTTACTGAAAGATATATCCATAGGGATTTCCGAAATATAATTTCCATTAAAACTCAAGTAGTCAAGTGACGGTAATGCACACAACCCCACTGGGAAATACATTATATTGTTATAATTTAATTCAACTCTGGTTATTTTTCTGCAGTTTTTTATTTCAATCGGAACATGTGTGATTTGATTGCCTGAAAACTCCAGGCTGTCTATATTACTAAGATGCGAGATTTCTTCAGCCATTTTTATCATTTTATTTCTGTTTACATGGAGTAGTCTCAAATTTTTAAGCCTGTGGATTTTTCTAGGAAGCTCTTCTATGTTATTATCACTGAGACTAAGACATTCCAACATTACACAGTGGGAAATTTTCTTTGGTATGTTTGTCAATAAGTTTTTATCAAGGTTAAGAAGTCTGAGTTCTCTGAAATTCTCAATTTTAGGCGAAATAGCTTCCAACATATTGTCAGCTAGCTGAAGTTCTTTTATTTTGGGCAACTGAAAAATTTCCACAGACAAAAAAGTAAGTTTATTATGATCCATTAAAAGTTGTTCTAAGTTTTTCAGCTCCCTAACTTCTTTAGGCAAACTGCCTATCATGTTTCCAGTAAGGTTTAGTGAAATTAATTTTGGAAGGAAGCATAGGGATTTAGAAAATATTGATAATTGGTTATATTCCAGATTAAGAATTTGCAAGTTTTTCAAACTAGACAGAGACTCTGGTATATGTGTTAACTTATTTTTACCCAAACTTAATGTTTCCAAATTTTCAAGATTTTCCAAGCCAGAAGAGGGTAAATCCTCAATACAATTACTATTAAGAAAGAGTTGTCTCATATTCCCAAGTTGTAATAGTTCTTTAGGTATGTATGATATCTGGTTGTAACTGGCATTTAGTATCCTTAAATTGTGAAGCAACTGAATTTCCAGGGGAATTGATGGCAGTCCATTTTCTTGCAGGGACAGAATCTCAAGTCCTAGCAGATCCCCTGGATCTGCCCCTTGGAAAGTTTTTATTTGATTCTTATCTAAATATAGATATTTTACATATTGGACTCTTAAAAGATCCACAGGGAATTCTTGTAAATCCTTGGCCTCAAGATTAACTGTAAAGTTATCTTCCTCTGAGTCCAATTCTTCCTCACTTTCTTCAGAGGCTTGTGGACTAACTTTGTCTTCAGATGGGAATATGGCTTGTACATAGTCTTCAGTTTCTACCATCTCTGATGACACAGAGCCCTGTGGTGATTCTGGTTTTGACAGTGGGGTGACATCGTCTATGCTGGTATCAGAAAATGGAATTGTTTTCTTTTTCTCTTCATCTCTGTTAAGCAGGCTTGAAGAGGAAGCTGTTGGCTGTTCTAGGCCCTTTAAAGGATTTTCTTCATAAATCTGATTGGATTCTCTCCTTCCCAAGTACGGAAAAGATTCATCTAAGGACTCTGATGTTTCTTCAATAAATCCAGGCTCCTCCATTGACTCGAATCTAGAGACTCCTCCAGGCTCCAAGTTATTCTCACCTTCAGACATTGTCTTGACTGGCAGCTCTTCCACCAACTTCAAGACTATAACTCTACTTTTTTATGTGCTTTTTTCCTATGAACCTACAAGACAGATGTTGATATTAAAATAAGCGTAATAAAGATGTTGAAATTACACATGCGAGGCTAACTGTGTATCTTCACCTCTCCCTCAGCCTCTCCAAATCCAGTCCCCCAGTTTCATCCCCTGCTCTGTTCTGCAGACCACCAGCTGTGGCCACCTTCCACCGCCCCCCCCACACCCACCCCTGTACACACTTCCCCTCCTAGCCCCCCACCCTGGCTCCCATCTTCAGTGGACCACACAGATCTTCCCCACCTAAGTCCCCTTCTCCCACTCATTGCTTTGTCCCCAGACTCCAACTCCTGCAGGCTTTCCCTAGGAACTCACAGGCCACTCTGAGCAGGGAAGCAAGCAGGCAGGCTAACTGCAGATCTCCACCTCTCCCTCCATGCTTCCAAGTCCAGTCCCCATTCTCATGCCCAGCTCTGCAGCAAACCTTCTGATGTGGCACCCTCTCACTCTCTGCACCCATTCCCAGGGGGCTAAGCAGATCCTGGAGCAAGACCCTGCTTTCCTCCCTCCTCTGGATACCCCCAGGACCACCCAGCCAATCCCCATTCTGAAGTGTCAGTTCAAAATACCCAGAAACACATTTTACCTGCCAGGATCCCAGAAAAATTTCCTACTAGGCAACACACACAGTGAAAACCTGTCTTGAAATTTTTCCTTTGGGATTGATTAGAATCAAAGAGTGAGTGACCTCACCAGTTCTACTGTTTAATACTGCACTGAGATCTTCCTTCCTTCCTCCCTCCCTCCCTCCCTCCCTTCCTTCCTTCCTTCCTTCCTTCCTTCCTTCCTTCCTTCCTGTCTCTCTCTCTCCCTCCATCCCCCCTCTGCCCTCTCTTTCTTTCTTTTTCTTTCTTTCTTTCTTTCTTTCTTTCTTTCTTTCTTTCTTTCTTTCTTTTTTTTTCTTTCTCCTCTCTCTCCTCTCCTCCTCCTCCTCCTCCTCCTCCTCCTCCTCCTCCTTCTTCTTCTTCTCTCTCTCTCTCTCTCTCTCTCTCTCTCTCTCTCTCTCTCTCTCTCTCTCTGACAGCTGCTCACTATGCAGCCCTGGCTGATCTAGAACACACTATGCAGATTAGGCTGTCCTCAAACTTAGAGAGATCTGCCTGCTTCTGCTCTTGAGTACTGAAATTAAAGTCATGTGCCATCATGCCCAGCTTTTGTGGGGGACAGAGAGTCTAAATTAGATATTAGGCTAGCATACATATTAGTGAGATTTATTACAGCATTTTCACATATTTGTTCATTTTTTGAGATAGAGTCTCATGTATCCTAGGCTGTCCTTGAACTATGTAGCTCAGAATACCCTTGTACTTCTGATCCTCCTGTCTCCACCTCCTGAGTGCTTGGATTCTAGGCATGAGCTACCATGTCTGATTTATACGGTGCTAGGGATTGATCCCAAGGACTTTGTGCATGCTAGGCAAGCTGCTCTACTGAGCTACACTGCCAGCTCCACATACTTTGTTCTTATTCATGTCCTTACCCCCTCTTTTCACCCCCTTTCATAGTCTCTCCCCCACCCTCACCTATCTGACCCCCTCCTCTGCTCTCATGCTATGTGTATTCCAATATCTCCCCTCCTGCTTTTCCCCCTCCCCAACCCTTAAATTCTCTCCTTCTCCTCTGTGGTTGTCTTTCTAGTTTCATAACCTGCACTTATACACACATATTACACATACATGCAGATTAAAATCAATAATCCACATATGATTCTGGATTATATCACAGAACTTAATGATTTGCTATTACATCCATTTCTTGAAAATGTTATGACTTCATTAGTCTTTATGGTGGAATGAAAGCTCATTGTGTATATGAATCATTTTCTTTATCTATTTATCTCTTGATGGACATTTAAACTGGTTCCATTTCTTAGCTATATGAACAGTGTAACAATAAACATGGATATCCAAGTACATCTGTGTAGGAGTTAGGAGTCCACTGGGTGCTTCTCCTGAGAATTCTTCATTGGTTGATTGGCATGTTTATTGACTGGAATATTTGTGTGTGGTGGGGGGAGGCTGATGCTTAATTTTTGCAGTTCTTTACATATTCTAGTTACCAACTTTCTGTCTATATATAAAGTTGGTGTCTTACTTAAGGTTTCTACTGCTGTGAAGAGACACCATGACCATAGCAACTTGTATAAAGGAAAACATTTAATTGAGGTGGCAGCTTATAGTTTCAGAGGTTCAGTCCATTGTCATCATGGGAGGGAGTGTGGCCTCTGGGAGTATGACAGCATGTAGGCAGACATGGTACTAGAGAATTCTATAGCTTGGTCCAAAGGCAAAAGGAAGTGAACTGAGACACTGTGTACTATCTTGAGCATATATGAGACCTCGAAGCCCGCCTCCACAGTGACACACTTCCTCCAACAAGACTACAACTACTCCATCGAGGCTACACCTCCTAATAGTCCCACTCCCTTTGGAGACCATCTTCTTTCAAGCCACCACAGTTGGTATTTTCTCTTCATTATGGTTATTGTTTCCTTTGCTATGCAGGAACTTTTAACCATAACCAATTACTCTGATGAATATAGACACAACAATTCTCAATAAAATACTTAAAAACTAAATTCAAGAACACATCAAGAAGATGTGTCATGACCAAGTTGATTTTGTCCCAGAGAGGCAAGGTTGGTTCAGCAGATACAAATATAAATCAACAAATGTGATAAAACATATGAACAGATTTGAGGATAGATATTTACATGATCATCTCAATAGATCCCAAAAAGGCATGTGACAAAGTTCAGTGTCCTGTCATAATAAAGAAAAATCCTAAAGAAACTGAGAATATTAGTTGCTTTTCTTGTTGCTGTGACAAGAGCAACCTAAGTGGGGAAGGATCTGTTTTGCCTTTGAATCTCAGGACGTAGAGTCCAGCATGGCAGAGGAGGTGAGGACAGCATGAGCAGGGGGCAGCTGCTTCCCCTGCATCCACAGTGAGAGTGACGAGTGAACAAGAAGTGAGGCTAAGATAGAAAAACTCAGGGCCCAGCCTCCATTACACATATCCTCCACCAAGGCTCCACCCCCTAAAGGTTCCACAACCTTCCCAAACAGTACTACCAGCTGGGGACCAAGTGTTCAAACACACGAGCTTAAGGGCGACATTCCACATTCACACTACAACAAAAGGAACTTAGTTAAACTTAATGAAAGGTTGTGTGTGGAGACATATAAAACTCATAGTTAACATATATGAAGTTGGGAAACACTACATGTGTTTCCTCTTTTAATATGATACTTGAAGTGTTATGATGAGTAACAATAGAGAAAGGAATAAAAGGTGTACCCTTTGTCCTAGCCAAGATTTCTATTGTTGGAGGCAAAAGATTTCTATTTCTGGGATGAAATACCAGAAGAAACTTGGGGAAAAAAGGGTTCACTTACTTCCATATCACTGTTCATTGAAGGAAGTCAGGACAGGAACTCATGCAGGGGAGGAACCTGGAGGCAGGAGCTGATGCAGAGGCCATGGAGGGGTGCTGCTTACTGGCTTGCTCCCCATGGCTGCTCAGCCTGCTTTCTTATAAAGACCCCAGGACTTCCAGCCAGGGATGGCACCACCCACAATGGGCTGGGTGCTTCCCCATTAATTACTAATTAAGAGAATTCCCTACAGGTTTGCCTGCATCTGGATCTTATGGAGTCATATTCTCAATTGAGGTGCTCTCCTCTCCAGTGACTATAGCTTGTGTCAAATTGAAATAAAACTAGCTAACACACCATTTGTAAGAAAAGAGTTCAATTAGCCCTGTTTACAAAATATATAATTGAAGACTTAAAAGACCCTAAAGACACCAGAAAAATCAGTAAATTCTCTGGATCTCTATAATGAGCTTGCTATGTAATAAAACAGAAACAATCAATTCATAATAACTTCAAAAAGTAAAGTAAATGCCAGGAGTAATGCTAACCAAGGAAGGGAAAGACCTCAACAATGTCTTATCTATCTATCTATCTATCTATCTATCTATCTATCTACCTACCTATATCTATTTTTTGTAGCCCAGGATGACTTTGGATTTATAGAAATATACCAACATATATGACTGTATTTTGCAGTTTTTTTAATTGAGAAAAAAATTTGCAGGGTTTCAACCTCACACATATTAGGCAAGCAATCTACCACTGAGCTACATGCCCAGGCTTCAAAAATTATTAATGCTATGACCTTCAGAAGACTGAGCTCCACAGAATGCCATAGTCACCCAATAGTACTGGTTTCCTAAAAGATAAAATTTAATAACTCATAGTCATGACATATTGCATGGGTGGTGGTGATATGGGAAATTAAATAAATATTTTTAAATTAAAAAAAACTTTTCCTTTCTTTTCTTTTCCTTTTTGGTAACAGGATTCCACAGAATAAAGAGGATCCACTCAAACTGGTAACTTGAGGAAAACCGAACTGAATGATGGTTTATAGAAGTGAGGCCAAAGAGCAGGTAGACCACAAATTCTAAAATCAGTCATGTTTGTTTTTAAGTTATCTAATCCATGCAGATGTTGTATAGTGGATGCTGTAAGGTAAGGATTTGTTTTCTCATCTGCCTAGACTTCCAGGATGGATCATCAGGCCCCACCTTAATCTGAACTGGGTGCTAGATTTCCAGGATGGATCATCAGGCCCCGCCTTAATCTGAACTGGGTGCTAGATTTCCAGGATGGATCATCAGGCCCTGCCTTAATCTGAACCGTTTAAAAGTGTTCAGCTCACGGTATTTGGTACATTTACATTGTAAAACACAAGAGCATTTTTAGAAGACGCAAAACCTTCTTAAAAACAAGGACTGCAGTATCTCAGTGTGAGGCTAAGTGAGCTGGAGATCAAAGCTTCTCTTATACTGACCTAATTAGGTCATGTGCCCAAACCTGAACCAATGACTGTGGCCGGGAACCGGAACAAGGCTGATTTTAGGTCGTGCTATGTGCTTCAGCCTATGCCTGAGGTAGCATCCTCTTGGGGTATCACAAATGCTAGACTCTGTTGTATAGAGCAGCGGTTCTCAGCCTCCCAAATGCTGTGAC